TGCATGTCAACAACCACTTCCACGATCCTAGCAGACTCTCTTAACCTAGTAAAACCTAGATTTTTACTTATTTTTAAAAATAAGACTATCTTCTCAAGAATATTGTTGGGAAACTTGCCAGTCTTTGTCCTCGGATGTGAGCATGAATATTTTATACACAAAGGGCAGGAGAATCAATTCAACTTAGGAAAAAAGAATAAAAACAGAAAAAGAAAGAGACAAGGTTGCGAGGGAAATAGACAAGATGGATGAAGTCTCCCTTCAGGAGGTGGTCAGTGCCCTCTTCTCTAAGAACATAAAATTTAATCTGGAACCTAAAAGGAGTTAGCCGCTTGAAAACGAAGTAGACATAGATGCAATGGGCCTGGAAGGAGGTCTTGCAAGTTTGTAGGGCTGTTCCTTTCTTCTCTGGAGGGGCTGAGTCTACCCTTGCACGATGTGTACAAATGTGACTATCCATAGCCTCTCTGCTCTAGCCACTTGAAAATAATAACCATGTCAGGATAAGCATACTTAACCCTCCCACGAGACTGGCAGGGAGACTCCAGACTAAGCAACAAACTTCAGAGGTGGGTTTGGGGCCATTAGCTATTTTACCTCACCTCACAGGGAGTCTGCCTAAGAATGAAGCCACAGTGGAGAACAGAAAGGGAGAATGAAATTGAACCTGTTCCATTCAGAAAGTTGTCGTTATCTGCTACCCCCATTCTGAGTTTCACTTCTGGAGTTTGTTTTGAAGTCAAGAAATCACCCCTTTTTGGTGTAAACCAAAAGACGTTTGGTTCCTGCTTTTGCAACTGAAACCACTGGGAGAGCCCACAGGGCTTTGGAACTTATAGAAGAGTCTGTATATATTTAGGGGAACATGTGCTTAGTGAGTCTTCTGAAGTTTTCACTGCAAAACTTCACCCTTTGGGTCTCCACTGAGTAGAGAACTGAGTGCAAAACAGTGAGAGTTGGAGAACTGTTCACAAAAATCTAAGCGAGATATTCAGTCTTAGAGATTTAATACCTCCCTCCCCTCCATTTCCATCGCCTTATGGTTAAGACTAGAGGAAGGGGAGAAACGCAAATGGATGCATCTGGGAGACGGCAATGATAGAACTTGTCCAATCCGCTTGAAATCAACAGCAATGAGTATCTGGTGTCTCGCCTACCCAGAATCCTCTTCTCTCTTGGGGACAGCACTGTTCTCTGAGGTCCACGGTTTAGGTTCTGCAGAGTGCAAATAGTGGCATGGGCATGTGGTTCAGAACTGGCCAGTTGTGGTCATCTTTGGGCCATAGTGATTATAATAAGGAGGCATGATCAGAACTAATCCAGGGACTTTGCTAAAGCAACTGGCAAAGAGATTCTGGCTTTCCACTGGACCCTGGAACTGCCAGAGGCGACCCTCTGGTGAAGACCCACCTGCAAAGAGGATAAAGTCAAGACAGTTAAAGACGGGCAGATGAATCAAACACTGAGCTTTTGAACCCAGGGATACATAAGGTTGCGATGGATTTCATGCCTCCCTCCCTTCCTTCCCCAGCAGTGAAATCCCTATTCAGCATTTATTCCCAGGCAGTGAGTCAGAGTTCAGAAAATAGATCTTTAAAAAGATATTGAATGAAAGAAATCTCTAATCTCATCTGTACCGAATAGAAAAGATGAGCTAATATGTTTTTCCTTGGGGTACTTTAACCTGTAGCACAAGCTTAGCAATTGCTATAATATACTGAAATTCTATGATGGCTAATGTAGCTTTTTTTGGTTGACCTACAAATAATTAACAACTAAACTTTTGAGATATAACCTGGTCCATTTGTTAGGATATACTAGTATTAAAAAAGAATATGATTGATAAGATTATGTTAACTATGAATGCCACAAAATTCCTTCTAACGTCCTTCCACCAAAAACAAATCAGGAAATCCTACAGTAATAAACTATCCTGTAGTCCAAATTGCCACCTACTTTCCAATTATTGTTGAATTTTAAAGGGCGTAGGAGGCACACAATGTAGAGGACTTTTAAAAAACTATTCTTAGAAAAGGTACATTAAACATGTGCATAATCTGAATCAATAGTTTTGTTGAAATAACAACATGTTATTTTAAAAATTCAGAATAATTTTTAACCAGAACTTTATCATAAATTTCACTGGGAATGAAAAACTGCTTGCAGAATCCTGAACAAATATAAACATACTTACCTTGAGAAAATGGAAGAAATGATTTTTATCAACTCTAAATAATTCCTGTAAAATTTCCAGAATTTCCCCAAGTAGGTACTTTGGAACCATTAACAGGTATCTGTCAGTGTGCCCCCTCTCCTACATAAGATTGGAAACTTTGCTTACTATTCCCAGGCCCAAAGAAAACTCTCAAGGCACACTAGCATATTTTAGAATGTGAGAAGTCTTGCAGTTTGAGATAGCTGCTCAAATTTGCTTAGCCCAGCATTTCCCAAAGTTAACTTTCTCAAGATTAACTATAGCGTTTCACACCCCCACCCAACCCCACCTCCAAACCTCCATTCCTCAAAGCAACTTTTGGAACAGCTTGTGGAATTAGTTCCATAAAGCAAAGTTTGGGAAACTCTAGTTTAGTGGTTTCTATCTCCACAGATTTTGCTGTCTGAATAATATATAAGGGATTTTGAGTGACAATTGCACCCATTTGAATATATCTTCAACTGACTCCATAATTAGAAATTTAAAATGCAAATTTTCCAAAAGCAAACTGTCTTTACCATTTAGACATGTTGCTGAAATTTATTTGATTTTGTGTATACTCATATTACTTTCCAGTATATCTGGTATAGGTTAATAGGATCAAAAGACTGATAAATATTGAGCACAGATATGATTAAGCATGTCTAAACAGTAAGTATATACAGCGCTTGACAATTTATGACAAATATACTCTGTAATCTGTGAGGGGGTACATGCCCCTTGGGACAATTGGGATTAGTGAAGCTTCTTCATTTATAATTTGTACAAGATGTGCATTACGGATTCCTGTTCGTATGGTTGGGTGGAAAAATGAAGCCACTGCTACTGAGCCGCAGATGTGGCAGAAAAGAATTAAAAGATCATCACCACTTTCTCTACATATAATGAAAGTCTAACTTTATGTCACTCTTTTAAAATAAGTTTTCCTCATGCTACTTGGCTACACATTAAATGTTGCTGGCATACACAAAACAGTAAAGGCAGGGTAAATTTAAAGGCACATTCCTATTGGCTGGATTATGAAGATTACTTTCTCAGATGCTGTTCCAAAGAACCCATCCAATACAAACGTAATTGAAAATAAAACCCTGAAAAACATTTCAATATTGATAGGAACATGAACAGACATGATACAGTCAAGACACCACTCTTAAGTGTGTCATATTGGTACATATTGCAATGTTTAATTCTCTAAGGACTATAATAGAAATTTCAGGTTAAGCGAGGTATATTTTCTGGAAACAGTATAATTATTCTCATACAAAAGACATATGTAGAATACACAGGTTTGATGCAGTTTGAATTTTAGGTTATTTGCGCTAAACGTATACGCCCCTTTTTTGCAGCACTGGGGATTGAACCCCAGGCACTGCACATGCTAGACAAGTGTTCTACTATTGAGCTATATCCGCAGACCAAGATATTTGAAAAATCTGATAAATTTTTTATATTCTCTGAACTATTTTAACATCAGATACTAAAGAGAAAAAGATCCTCTTTGCCGAAGCGGACTCCTCTGCCTGACCAATTCACACAGACGCCATTATTGCTTTGTGGCGCTGGGAACTGAACCCAGAGCCTTAAGCATGCTAGGTATAGCTACGCTCCAGGCCTTATACAGATCTTTGACCTATGTTATAACATGTTTCAAGTGCGGTGCTCATGCCCCTATGGGAACACAGCATGATTTCAGACAAATCCAAAGAATATTTTCTATTTTAATAGTGAATGATTTTTGATAGCGATAGAAAAATACTTGCTGATTACTGAGATTTCGTATGTGCTGCCAAGCAAAAATTCTGGTTATTAAATGCAGGGCCGCTATGTGGGAACTACTGTTTATCATCTCCAATAAGCAGGAATGAGACCGGGGTAGACAGAGAGTAGGTACTTGGGTTAAGATGCAGACCCCTCCTGAGATGAAAAACCCCAACTTTCAACTTACCTGCTTTTGATTTCACCTAGAAAATTCCCCTGTTCAGGTATGAAATCTTCCTATTTTTACACGTTTTTAAGACACCACACAGTCATATTTCTATGGGAAATATAAATAATTCAAATAACTCTGAAAAAGAAAGGCCTCAATTATTGTATATTACAATTTGAGAGAAAAATTAAAACTGAGAAAAAGCTGACAGATCAGAAGCGTTACAGAAGTTTCTTGCTCGTTTTTCTCCAGAGGTTAAACCAGAATATTTTTTTAAAAGGGCAGAAGTTTAAGGTCTAGCTAGGGAATAAAGACATGTTTTGTCTGACACTTCCCAATTCAAATCCAACATTTATCAAATGACTCTTAAGTACCGTATTAAAAAAAAAAAAAGAAAAAACAGCCAGGATCTGGCAGGCTGGGTATATGAAGCTTTCATTACTGGAAATTTGTACTTTTAGAAACCCAGTATCTTTTCTGTAAATATGCAAGTGTTTCTCTGGCAATGTCTGTTTTTTTTATAGCCCCCTCTCACTGAAACATTTCAAATAAAATTCCTTTATCTAAAATGGTTTCTTGGCATTTCAGAGTTTAAAAGTCTCCCCAAATCAGAGGGGAAAGGGAGCTACATAATTATACTTCATCTAAGCAAAAGTCATAAAGTAATAAAAATGTTTCTAACCAAAAAATATCATCTTAAGAGTGGCATTTAAAACAAAATAAAGTACTGCTGACATTTTAAAAATTTTCTCACAATTTGTAATTCATTAGATGAGAAGAAAACTGCACTACCATTTTTCTTTATAAGGAAAAAACAGCATTCAAAACTGGCATTAACTAAACACAACTGGCCATCACTATGTGAAAAACCAAATGCTTTAATGAAGCTACCAAGAACAACAGTTCAATTATTTCATTGGATACATTAATATCAATCCACAGTATACAGTGCTCCGGACCATACAGAAATTACTGCTGCATCCAACAGCAGGTGACTCTTATTAACATTACAGTACCAAGCGTCCACAAGAGACAGTCATTTGTCATTTTATCAAGAAATAGGGTTTTTATACTGTTGTCAACATCAACTTTTCCCCAGTGCATTCTTCAAAAATATTACTAAGTGCATTCTTTTGTGCTTTATTTTATATCTTTTAATATCCTATGTAGTATATTTGTTCTTATTGCTTTATTGTTTAAAAACAACCAGAAAGAACTTTGTCATCCTTCATGTACGACCAGGCTGATCGTACAGTTTTTGGCAAAGTCAGAAGGTTTGGTATGTCCATTGTCTTACCTAGAGGCAGGTGGACAATTTTGGTATTTTGGTCACTCCAAATGGAGGCCCAAGCCTGAGTCACAATTCTGCACCCAGGGATGGGGGGAGTGGTGCGGATCATTCTTTTGTCAAAAACAGCCAGCCCCGAACACTGCCTCTTGGCTTAAAGAGTCCCTAAGGTGAATCCACATACTGTCTGGCAAAAAAGAAAGAAATAAAACCACCCCTCAAGGCTGCAGCGTTCTCCTGAACGTGCTCACCCACCACTCCCAGCAACTGTGTCTGAAGAAGGAGACAGGGAAGCAGGGCATGGCAAGCTCAGGAGTTGCAGGAGTTAGGCAGTGGTATGAGATGCCATACACTCACTCAACAAAGCTTTCCAGAAGGCTGCTTCGCCACAGCTGTAGTCCTTCGGCTGTGGTCAGTCCACTTTGGTCTATTGTTAAAATCCCTCAAAATCAGCTAAGAAAAACTGGCATCATAGCGTCGCAATCTTCCACTATCACACCCAGCCCCCTCCCCCCATATAAATACGAAGAGAAAAATAGACAAGGCTATGATTGTATCCATGAACACTACGGTACAATTTGCTGTTCATGCAGATTTGCATCACTATTCTAGGAAAAGAGCTATACAATTAAGAGGGCTGAAAGAATGGGAACGAGTCTTCCCCACCCCCTTAAGTAATAAAGCTATAAAAGTGATAGAATCATCAGTGTTTCCAAGGATTCGCATTGCCCGACGCGCCTGGGGACGACGCAGGTTGATTATTTCCACTGAAGCCATCCATTCACACAGCTGACAATCACTCCTCTCTGATCCCTCCATCACCCATCGCCGATTCACATTTGAAATTTAAACACTTTAAAAAAAACCCTTCTGAATAAGGTTTCCTGATGAAAGAAGTTGGCACTCTGTCACTAAAATATATTTCATATTAAAAATATGTGAAGGAAAATGTGAAGCTCTTATATGGTCTACATAGGCACCATGCTACATGTTCCTGTCGACTAGAGATACCATCTTGAAACTCTCTCCTACATTACAGTTCAGTCAGTGCTAGTCCAAAAAAGACTACTGCTATGTTTAAGGCACTTCATTCTGAATGGATATGCTTTATGCCACTCGCTATTCAATTGTAGGCTGCTACTGAGAAATTCCATTCCCCAGCCTGGCTTGTAACACTATATATCATCTGTATAAAACACCTAGACTTGATACATATTAACACTACTGTTATTGCATAGGGCTACGCAAATAGATAATGCACTGAAACTATACAACACTGCTGCTTGTTAAAATGCTGTTATCAGGTAACAGTAATTTGCCAATCCAGTAATTTTTTTTCTTTAAAAAAATCCAGTGAGTTTGCTGAAATAAACCCCAATTTTAATGACCATCATGGGCATAGTAATACTATGGTTATCAGTTTCCAAGAATATTGCTATTTTTTATATCCTAAAAATAAATACGTAAGTTTATTCTTTCTAGAAAGCCAGGGTTGAACCTATTAATACTATACCTTAAATGTGCTGAAAAACAGTTCTGAGTGAGACTGTAACATACAAAATATTTTCAAAGCTCTCTTTAAACACAAGACCTTGCAAAAAAAGTTTTCTCTCATGGGTGTAAAAAGAATGCAGAAAACCACCAGTGAGTTGTAAAAATATTGAAAACTTGCAATTTTAAGATGCATATTCTTAGAAATTAATACAAACACTGAAAAGAATGGTGATAATAAAAGTCCATATAAATCAAATGACTAAAACATAATTTAAAAATAAAAATAGTAAAGCCAAATAGAAATGTGCCCAGTTTGGTTGTCTTATCAAAAGCAAAAATGAGCGGGGGGAAAAAAGTAAAACTTTCACTGCTCCTCAGTATTTTACTGTGAGAGGACATTCATTTCCATTTCAAAAGAAAATATATCTTATTAAAAATTAAATCACACTCATTAATTCATTAATGAAGAAAACCAACTGCAGACAGTGAAAGGCAGCGAGATCAACTCCGTTTTAGAGCTACGGCCTGACTCCTCTCAGCTCTGGTTGGTGTCAGTTACATCCTCTAACCAGATAATCATCCTTAAAACGACTGCTTTTTTCTTTGTCTTTACAGACTATACCAGTTCTTTCAACAGTTTGCAGTATAAAGACTAAACATGACTAGAAAGGTACTGCACGGTAAGGCAGTACCAATGAATCGATACATTTATAAAACGGAAAAGGGTTAGTATGAAGGTTTCTTTCTTTTTGTTTTTTGGTTGCTTTACATTCTTTTACTTCTTTACATTTAATTTCTAAGGAAGTCACAGGCATAAAAATCTCAAATCAAGTTTTCCCCTGAATAAAAATGGACAGACACTTCTCTGATGCAAAATCCACTTGCTCAGAAAGCTCATGCCGGAGGCGAACTCAGTTCACAGATACTGCACACTTATTGTACAATACTTTGGAGGCGTTTGTAGTTGTAAAATAGAATATACAAGTCTGTTTCACAAAATTCTAAAAATAAAATATATCCTGGGCTATTGATAAAGCATGAAAAAAATTCATAGTAAGGAAGGAAAATTATCAAGAAAACCCCTTCAGGTGAACTATTAAGTCTACTAATCAAGACCGGAAGCAGCTCGCGCGGCTGGGGTGGGGAGGCCTCGCTAACAAGCGTGCTCCGTCTCCTCCATGCTCATGCTGCTCCTCCGGCTGCTGGCTTTGGAGGCTCCCGGGGACACAGATGACAGCAGTGGGTCAGTCACACCAACAGGAGAGAGAGTATCATCCATGAGGATGTCTTCCAGTTTGGACGCCATTTTCGTGGGGAGGCTGTAGGCAGGACTGCTCTCGGCCCCCGGCCCCAGGCTGCTGTTGAAGCTGATGGTGCCATCGGTGAGATCCAGCGTGGTCGTGCAGCTCAGCTCTGGGTGGTGCTGCAGAATGTCTTGACTGCAGTTCTCGAGAACCGGTTCTTGCTTGATGATCCGATTCACCAAATCTGGAGAGCAGAGACCCGTGGATGGAAGAAGGGAAAGTCCGTGAGCTCGAGCCTGCATTTCTAGCTCCTGTAACAGAAGTCAAAATCAGGCACTTAGGCAGGTGAAGCACTGAGGATTTTTAAAAGGCAGTGGAACTGCTCCACAAGATACTATGACAGTGGCTAGACGTCAGTATACATCCATACAAACGCATAGAATGTGCAATCCCAGAGTAAATAGAAAGTAGGGACTTTTAACCAGGTGCCGTGGCACAAACCTATAACCCCATCACTCTGGGAGGCCGGGGCAAGAGAACTGCAAATTGGAGCCCAGCCTGGGCAACTTAGTGAGTCCTGTCTCAAAATAAAAAATAAAAAGGGTCAAGGATGAATCTCAGTGCTAAGGCCCTGAGTTCAATCCCCAGGGCTGCAAATAAAAAGAAAAAAGAAAAGAAGAGAGAAGAGAAGGGAAGGGAAGGGAAGGGAAGGGAAGGGAAGGGAAGGGAAGGGAAGGGAAGGGAAGGGAAGGGAAGGGAAGGGAAGGGAAGGGAAGGGAAGGGGAGGGGGAAGGGGAAGGGGCAGGGGAAGGGGCAGGGGAAGGGGAAAGGGGAAGGGGAAGGGGAAAGGGGAAGGAGAAAGGGAAAGGGAAAGGGAAAGGGAAAGGGAAAGGGAGAAGAGGGGAGGGGAGGGGAGGGGAGAGGAGAGGAGAGGAGACAAGACGAAGAAAAAAAGAAAGAAAGAAATGTTAGGGCAGGCTCATCGAGTTGAATAAATGTACCACTGTGCGGGGTCTAGATGTAGGGCATTTTCTACAGCTTCCACTCATTGTTACTGGGAATCTTAAATCACCCCTGCCCCCGGCCAAGGTCTATTAAATCAGATGCTGAGAAGGAAAACAATGAATTGCCAAAGTTAGTTACTCTTTAAAATTAATAAACTCCATATTTCCTAAACTACACATACCATTGGTAGCCTATAAGCTGACTTTGTGTGGTATATGGATTTTATTACATATTAAATTTCAAGAGATTGATTTTCATGGATATTCATATTCAAAACAAGGATAAGTTGAAAAATACATTTTAAAAAATTAAAATGGGAGCTGATAAAACCAGAAGCCATGCAGTGCCCAGCAGGTACATGCATCTCATTAGTAAGCCCTGTGGTTAGTTAAAAACTAGATAAAAATGCTATTTATATATTTGTTTAAGTTTTGTTTTTTCAAATGGCAACTAAGCTATTAAGGCCTAAATACTTGGTAAGTTGCTGGGACCTAAAAGAAATAGTAGGCATTTCCTCTGGTGTGGCGTGCAGTGAGAAAGTTACTAAAACACCAAGGGCAGCCTGCAGGAAAAGCAGAGGTGGTGATGGCAAAAGCCTCACTGGCTCTACACAGGTTATCGAAGTTTTAGAAACACCATGTAACCTGTCTCCCTGCGGGGGAAAAGATCTGTTTTTTAATTCAACCATTAAGTTCTCAACTAAAAAATGACTGACTTCATTCTATATTTTCTTCACATACCCTTTTATTATGATCCATATTGTGTTCCTCCCACCCCATGTATCCATGCTGAAATCCTAACCTAGTACCTTGAAATGTGACTGCACTGGCAGACAGGGTCTTTAAAAAGGTCATAAAGGTAAATGAGGTCATGGGAGCAGAACCTACCTAAGAGGACTGGTGCTCTTATCGGAGGAGGAGACTGGGACACGGACCAGAGGGGCAGACCACGCGAAGAAACAGAAACAGCCATCTACAAGCCAAGGAGGGGCCTCCGGCAGAAACAGCCCTGCTGGCACCCGCATCTTACTTGTTACAATTCTCAGAAAATAACTTTCCGTCCTGTGAACCACCTAGCTGGCATACCTTACTGCAACAAGAGGAGCTGATGAATAAGTTTTCTAAGTGTCAGTGACTTCCCTGGGGCCTCATTTCAAAATGCCTTAAAGGCAGACATGGTGGCATCCACCTGCAGTCCAGCACTCTGACAACGTGACACAGGAGGATTGAAAGTTTGAACCCAGCTTGAACAACTTAGTGACTTATTGAGATCCTGTCTCAAAATAGGTCTGGGGATAGAGCTCAGACAGAAGGTCCTCAGTTCAGTCTCCATTACTAGAAAACAACAACAAGGAAGCCCCCCAAACCTTGGATAGCTCCCTTTTTCCTTTCAGACTATCCCTGGAAACTCCTAAAATGAACCCAGCTGACTCCCCAAAAGCATCCCACTTCCACATTCCTATGCCATCTTATCTTTCTGATACAGTAAAATATAAAAACAGAATATAAATCTGAAGCCATGCATCTGGTATCATCAGCCTTTGCCCATGACCCTAGAAACAGCTGTGCCTGAAAAAGCCCTGTTCAGTCTATTTCAGCACTGTTGGATCCACAGAACTCTTTTCTGAAACCAAGACAAGTAAGGGATGGGAGCTGGGATGTCACAGCGGTGTCTGCATGCTCCTTTACTCTATCCCCAGAAACACAAGTCTCTCAGGGCAGCATTTCACACCCTTGGGCTGTTTAGCAAAATGGCAGTCCCACTGATAATAAGGCTGCCTGCTCCGCCTCCTGTGAACATTTCTGCATGCATCACTTAGATTGAAAATGAAAGGAAGCCCGTAGGCCCAAGCTCCAAACATGGGTTCTTGTAAATCCACACCCACATGCTAGTAAGAGCTGCACCTCCAGACATGCAGTTTTTTCAATAAATAAATACAGAAACAATAAGTAAAGTTGGATTGAGAAAGGCAAAATCTCACTCTAATCCTTTATTGTTTAATTAAAAATGTTTATCAACTGATTAAAGCGATTATTTAGATTTCCAAATAAGATGGTAAATCTCCTCTGGAGCACTCTCGTTTCATTACATCCCAGATCTTTTCTAATTAATACTATTTTCTACTATATGCTAAAGTTCTAATGATAGGTTCACAGTCACTGGAAAAAAACCAAGATACTGCCATCAACAGAATCTCCAATGCATGTATTTTATAATATTCCTATCTCGTCAATATACATGTCCTTGAGGCCTTGAAATAAAACAAAACCTAGCTTCTTTTTCAAAATAGTTACTACATTTTAATATCTTCATGAAGAAATACCACATATCTTCTTAACACATAATCAGCTTTTAGAAATGGGTACACTACTGCCCAGGCTTGGTGGCACATTCCTGTTACTGCAGTCTGGGTTACATAGTTCCGGGACAACAGGGACTACATAGTCTGTCTCATCCCCTCCCAGAAGAGGAGATGGGGGGAGAGAGGGGGAAGGGGGGAGAGGGGGGGGAGGGGGGAGAGAGAGAGAGAGAATGAGAACTAAGTAAGTACTAGAGATTACATACCTCCAGTTACTTACTAGAGAGACAAAACAAAACGAACAATAAAAACCAAAGAAGACAGCCATGGGCAGGGAAGGGAAGATTTCCAAGTTATATGCAACTTCCGCTTCACTACCCAGATTCTCAGCCAACCCTCCGGAAGAGCTGCCTTTAGCCTGTCCCTTCCAGGCTGAAGACCTTTGGAGTGAACAGGAGGTACGACACCCTGAAATGTGAAACCCCGGGCAGCATGCGGAAGGAGGGGGAACTTCATCACAGATGACCTCCTCTGCAAGTTCAGTGTCAGGGATGAGCACCACCCCGTGAAACATGATGGACTCTAAGGCATCATACTTTGTATAATTTCCAAAAAAGTAACTCAATAGATAGCTGCTTGGGAACCTGAAAAGTAAACCTTACTCTACAGCAAAATCTAGTAAAGTGGGGGGCAGGGAGGGTTGTCCATCCATGCATGGAGAAGATCCATATTACTGACTTTTGCAGGCAGTTTGTATTACAGGTCAGCAAGTAAGTAAAACCACCCCATGAAGTTGGGGTGACCAAGGTTGGAAGATCACAAGTTTGAGCCCAGTGTAGGCAATTTAGCAACTTAGTGAGACTCTGTCCCTAAATAACAATTTTGTTAAAAAGGTTAGGGATACGGCTCAGTGCAAAGGCCCTGGGTTCAGTCTCATCTAACCACAAACAACAACACCCATACAAGCTACTTTGATCAATGATAGAGTTGACCCGTGAGGACAGCTCCAGAACAGGTTTGGCCTTCAAATGCAGCCTAAAAGGCAAGTGCCCGAGACAACCCAGGAATCAAAAGGAAAGAAGGCTCCATCCCCATTTCTTGGCCCCACTGATAGTATGTTTTTGGACACAAATGGTGGACAGGCAGCCCCTATTTAATATTTTCCCCCAAAGAGGATGAAGTTTAAGCTATAGATGGTATACTTTCATTACATATAACTGCTTCCAAAAATTACATCCTTCTTATATGATTTTTCTGGGGTGTCCTCTGTATACAAAGGTTTGACCCCTCCACCCAACAGAGGCATCTTTTTAATTTAACACGTACACTCAGTGTTCATTATTTGTGGTAGCTATGGTCTCTAAAGTGACTAAAAACATTAAATTAGTGCATACAGAATTATTGCTCCTAGGGGAAAGATGGGGTTAGAATCTTCTACTGACAACATCTTCACCAACTCAGCAATACACAATCTTGATCCACGTATGTTTCTGTGTAAGATACCTTTTACTCAGTACCTGTTGTTGATCCCCGCATGCTGAACTCGGAGCTAGCAGTACTGGAAGACACGCCTGAGGCCAGTGTACATAACGCTGGTGCTGTTTCTGAAGGTGCATGACAGCCTTCTTGTGCTTACCAGACAGCACAGCAACCCTGCATCTGGGGCCCATGTGACACAGCCAAGTCACCAACACAAAGCACATAAATGTGGGAGACACGACCCTTAACAGGTCAAACCATAACATGTTAATGGCATGAGAGCTGAAACAAGAAGGTCAGCCACTGACTTCAAGCTGGGCTGTCACACTTCCACCAGGAGCCAGCACCCTGGGCAACTCAGATTTACCACTCTGCACACATCCAAGAATGACTGGGAAAAGTGCCACAAATATCAACTCGGGGGCACCCATAAAGTTTTCTGAGTAGGCAAATTCGCAAATACAGCATCTATGAGGAACATGATCACCTGTATTAAGATCATGTAAGTCAGCTCCCCGATGGCTCATTATTGCCTGCCTGTCACACCTTAAAGCCAGCAATATGCTTGCAGCACCCGTTACACGGAGGGTACCTGTATTCTGAGCAGCAGGTGCCGGTTGGCATGCTCCAGTTTCTTCTGTCGGTTTTCAAGTTCTTTTGCACGTTGCTGCTCCCGTTGCAACTTCCGGATATAGTCCACGGATGCCTTTAAAATGGTTCCTTTGTTCCAACGCATGTCACTGGGATGAAAATGGAATAAAACAGACCTTGGTAAGATTTGAGGCTCGACGAAAATTCAGTACTCAAAGCATTTAATTTCATTGGATATAGCAATAACTGCACAGCAATAGTAGCTGTATTCACTATGCATGTGCCGTGGGCCGGACACTGTCTATCCATTCTGTGTACACTGTCTTACTTAATCCGAACAACTTTGTTAAGGTAGGGACACGGTGCAAAAGTCAAAACGGAGACAGTTCAACTACCCAGGTCACACAGCTACCGTTAGTTGGAGTCAAGACATAAATTTAGTCCTCTTGATTACATGATCAACATTCTTAAATGCTGTAGTAAGTAGTTACAGGTTTCTAGGACTACAAAGGTATACTCATTTGGACAGAATAAGCAATGGTAAAAAGAAATCCTGTGAGATTCCATTGCTTGTTTGTGGCATCTTTAGATTTTTATCACAAATCATCATGAACAGGTTCTCTAATCTCTCTCTGTGATCTGTTGCCTCATGTACATAACCATACTACACTTACGTAAGCAGCTGTCTCTGTGTGTTATTGGGATCAAAAGAGGCACATTATATGAATAGAAGTCCCAAACACAGTGCAAATAATGGAGCCGGTGTTAAGTGGCTTATAGTGGGATCTTTCCATAGCACTTACTATGTGCTGCGTACTTTTTAAAGTGTTCCATAGCTCACTGATTCTTGACCTCAGTGGGTAGGTACTAATAGGATCCTACTTTACTGAATGAAAACTAATGCACACAGAGGTTAAGAAGTTTCCCCAAGGTTACAGAGTAGAGGTGGCAGAGCCAGGAAGCCCAAAGAACCTGGCTCCAAGCTTTCCTCTTTTAAGCTGTGACACCATTGCTCTTCTAGGTGAGTCTTCAAAACAACTAGACTCCTTAGGAATATTCCACGCCTCCTTTTTCAACCCGTGAGAAAAATGAAGCCCAGAACACAGGGAACTTCTCCAAGGTCAAACACTAGCAAGAGACTGTTTTGGAATTCCAGCCTCGGCAGCCAGAACTTGCTGCCTCTTGATTCCTGTGCTGTATGCCTCCAATACATTGCCCATGAGAAAATTAAGACCGTTAACATGTAGATGAATGCCCTTTGAAGATTTTAGAGCACTCCAGAAAAACAATAAAGAACAATCTATGTTTATGGAAAATATATCTATATTGCTTGAAATTAATCTGAACTCTCTTATAGACAATTTTCATTATAATGATGACTATAACAATGGAAGATGAGAACAAACACAAAAATCTGCTGGATGGAGAACCACCTACTTCATCGTCTATAAACTGTGAGGAGCAGATCAGAAATACCAGGTGCCATGTGTGAATGGTGGACCAGTAAAACAAGTCACCTAGTAATTGGTCCTCCTATGGGTTAGAATAGATGAAGAACAAAACAGAAGTCCTCCCAGGAGAGATACAGCTACAGTCCCCAGAGAATTCTCTGGGGCTGGTCCCTAAGGTCTTAGCACCAAAAATGGCAACCCAGAGAGGTGACCTCATGTTCAGGGCTAAAACTAAAGGAACAGAAACTTTAATAATCAGAGAGACATGTAATTATCATGACTGATACCTGACTTAGGCTAACAAGGTGAGAAATCAGAATCAAAACTTTCAAGCAAAGTAGCCACTCAGATTTTAAGAAGTAATTATTTCAGACAGTTATCCTGAGGTTTACTTGTGAGACTCCATCAGTTAGGTTTCTGGGCTAAAAGGGAGGGTTTTCAAATTTCTTTTTTAATAATAAGAGGAATCTCTTTTTTCATACAGAAGCATACACAAAACTCCAATGTAAAAAAGAAACAGCAGACTTGCTCTACTGGAAGAGAGGCCACCTGGCTGCGACATTCATCAGATAGAATGTGTCTCTACAGCAGTCCCAAGGCCCATTTTCGAAAAACACTGTACAGCTTATAGTCTGGTTTATCTTAAAACAATGCCTACAGAGAATCAGTTCAGATTATAAACACTTAAGTATTCCAACATAATGGAGAAAGAAGACATGCGAATCCAGGCTTTCACTGTGGCCCCATAATTCCGTAATATGTTACTAAAGAGATTCCCACGCTACAATTTAAAAGAATATGCTAGAAAGTGACAGCTGATAAAGAACAGGAAAATGGGAATTCACTTTCAACCATCATGCAAGACTGACTATGGGAAATGAAGGCCTCAGCCCTGCAGTAGGATAACTCTGAGCCGCAGAGCTGAGCATTTGAATGTTTCCAGTTTGCCTTTCTTTGAAACCTAGGAAAGCCAGGTGTTGAAGATGCAAACTGTGCCCACACATTCATCAAAACCACCTCACAAGAGGTAATAGCTTTATCTTACTTTGCTACAGATTCCCTGACAATAATGTGAACAGCAAATTTCGTAAGCCTTGCATGAATAATGCTTGACTGCATCTTTACATTTTATTAGATAGCTAAAAGGTCACATCCAAAGGCTAATTTCATAGAACGCCTGTAGGGGGGCATTAAAATGTATACATCCCCTCACCCCCACTTCAAATGGGCCAATTTCTAATGGATAAAAATTGTGTATTTGTTGTCCTGTTTGACGACATTGCAGGTAACTGTGAAGCAGTAGGAAAAAATTTTTAGAGAAAATTATCTTTACAGCTGCTATGTCTAAGAGGAGGGCCAGAAGGAAGAAACCAAGGGCTGAAACCCAAGTTAGCAGACTTGTACTTAACAATAGGATTAATAGTCACCCTTGTTTTCTAGATTGGTAAAACATATAAAGAAATGCAAGTTTCCATTAAAAAACAACTGACCTTCTGTCTGTTGAGTATCAGTGAACCTGAAGTTTCCAACATTGTTACAAAGCCCGGGGTACACAGTCTGCAAACCTAAATCTTGTACTGTGCGAACGCTACAGAATTTTTTTAATAGCTTGGAATTCGTTTGCCAAGGAATGTCAGATATCAGAAAACTCACCTCCTCACACTCAGAGCTAACCATCTAATGTCCAGGGGTCCTTCTGGACAACTCAGTGCATTTTTCTCTTGAAATTTTAGTTGGATGAAATTAACAAAAAGAAAGGTTTCAGAAGTATTTAGATAAAAGAACCAGAGAGAGGAGGAATTTCTTAACTCCAGTTTTTATAACTCCATTTTTTGCAACATATGAGAAAACATGAAGGTGCAAAAAATATATGATGCAGATTAACGTGCAATTGTACTCACGGATCATTTGACTTGGGAATCAAAGTACCTAGTTCTTTAATGCGGTCATTTATGTTAAATCTTCTTCTTCGTTCAACTTCAAGAAAAGAGCACAGGAAAGGGCTATTAGTAACAGCACCAATGTGCGTTCAGCATACCTCATTAAAGGCGCGTGCACATGAACTTCACCAGGTCAGGGCAGTGTACACCTGAACCTATTTTTCCCCTTGTTCTTACTGTGTATTTGGTATTGTGGTTAAAGCACTTTTTAAAATGAGCTACCTTTGTCAAGAACTTTGCCATTTACAAAGCCCTTAGATATACAATTTCTCATCTGATCCTGTAACAACTCCGAAATTAGATTTCCTGTCCTCAGTTACAAATGACAAAACTGCCTTGGAGATATCAAGAACTTGCTGAGGACAGCCAGCAAAGTGGTGGATAGCTGGGACGCAAGCCTAAAGCTATGCAGAAGGGCTCAGTAAGCATTCTGTGAGGGTAGGCCGTGAACTCTTTCAGCTTTGTAGGCCAAGCGCCAACACAGGCGGTATTTATGTAGACACTTACATACTTAGACAGAAAACAAACTTCCAACATATTTTTTTACAAAATTAAAAATATAATATGAATTATGTTTTATAATGCAAATCAAAATTACTAAAAAGTATTAGGATTACCTCTGATACTGAAATTTGAATGTTGAATGATTTTCATGTCACAAAATATTACTCTTGGTTTCCTTTTAACCACTTAAAATTTAACAAAAAACATTCTTAGTGCACAGGCAGGCAAAAATCCCTACTCTAGCCTAGCACTGCCCCAAAGAAATAAAATACAAGTTCCCTATGTGATTGTAAATTCTCTCGTAGCCATAATGAAACAGTAAAAAGAAAGATGAAATTAACTTCAATATTTTCCTACACCAATAGACCTAAACCATTATTTTTCAGCAGGTAATCAACATTAACATTTACAAACTAGGTAGTTTAACAGTCTTTTCTTCGTACTAAATTTTGAAATCCAGGTGTAATTCACATAGCACATCACAGTCTGGATCAACCCCATTGGCTACCATAGTGGACAGCATGGTCCTAGCACTTAAGTCCAGCTTGCCTAGTGATACCAGGCATCCTAACAGCATTCCTATCTCATAAATCTAGTGGTATATTTAACTAAATTACCACCTTCTTAGAGGAGGGTGACACAGAGAAGCATATGAGGTAAGTGTTTTTAATTTGCCTGGTCTAGCAAAAAATTCCAAGTAAGTTAACGTCTAATAAATTAGGTTTACTTTAAATAACCTAAAATAAATAAATAAATACTTATATTTATACTTGGCCCACTACCATTCTGTATCTTTAGATAAATAATATAATCTCTATTTTTCCAAAATAAATTGCAGCTCATATCACTGGCTGAGTAGTTATTCCAGTAACTAAGTCATATTTATAATGCTAAGTTTTATTATTAAATTTTTATAAAATAGAAACATTAAGTGATAATGTTAATTATCATAAAGAAGGAATATAATAAAGGAATTTTTAGATTCCTGATCTACTAGATAACCTCCTCCCAAACTCTGAATCTTATTTTTTCCTTTTATTGAATGTCAGTATCACAAAATTATATACCATAAAACTTCCCTGTGGTCCACTGTTAAGTTTCTTACATATCCCTTGTGATTATTTTTATGCTTTAAAAATAAACACACAGCAGTCAGAGGTGCACTTCTGAGATGCAGCCCTTGCAATACTTCCTGACTGACGTTCACTTCCCCGTCATCTCATGGTGTGGAATACTGTGAGGACACTGATGCCTCCTGTACTTCTATCTCCAGCCCAGATGTATCCCTGGAACTCGTATGTCTGACCACTAGACTTCCCTATATGGAAGGATGTCTACAGGGCAGGCCAAATACTCCTCATCTTTCCTGCTCAGATGAGTCTATGGGGTAACTCACCTCATTTAATGATAACCACATTCTTCCAATCGCTTAGGCCACATCTTGCAATCAGTTATGTACCTCCCTTGCTTTTTTACACACTACATCTGATCCATCATCAAATCTGTTGGCTCTACCTTCAAAATATTTGTAGAACTGGTTTACTTCCAGCCTCCACTGCTACCTATGAAATGCTATCATCATCCCTTGCCTGGACTGCCGTAACTGTCCTAGCTCGTATCTCTGCTTCGTCCATGCCCCCTGCTCCTTGCCTCTCCGGGGTCTCAAGAACACAGCTGCGAGAGGGATCCTGTGAAAACTTCAGTCAGAGCACACCAGTCCTTTACTCAAAACCCTCCAATCAGTTCTCATTTCATCAAGACGAAGCCAAGTCCTCCAGGGTCTCACAGGCTCCCAGCCCTCTGACAGCACTTTTTCTCCTCTCTCAGAGTGACTGTCCTCCTTAGTGATACGTCTTAGGGCTTCACATGGCTGTCACCTTTTTGGAACACTCTTCCTTTAGATATCTGAATGGCTCTGTCTTACTCTCCCTCAGATAATGACTCAAATTTACCTCTGAGAGTTCTCAGGTTGTTCTATCTAAACCTGACTCACCTCCCCTAAGCCCATCCTGCCACTGTGTCCCTTGGGCTATCCTTTGTCTCCTCATAGAACTTCCAACTACAAAATTGACATAGTTCATTATTTTACTCTTGTGCTGGTTTTCTATTGTATTCTAGGCAACTGCATATGGTTGGCACAAGTAAGCGATAAAGAATGCTACACTGAAAGTGGAATTCTACTACAATGATTCTGCATCTATGTTTTCTCAACAGGACACTACTGACATCTTTCACCATCAACCTTTACTTGCACCACACTTTATTTTTACTGCAGGGACTTCCCTCTCCAATTATTTATTATGAAAGTGGTACAAGTTTGTAAATCATTGAAAAAAAAAATACCAACACGTATAAAGGAAAAAGGAAAAGCCAACTCTTTTACATGTTCCAACATCTATTTGTCTGGAAAAACTGTCACTAATAAGTGTGCTTTGAAAGCAGGTATCCCTGTATAAGGTGGCCCCTGTACGTGACAGGATGCTGTATCTATTATTCTGCGTCTCACTAATAAATAGATGACTCTTGGCTCAAATACAAGTTCCAAAGAGTGGGAAACCCATTGGTATGATTCACTTTGGTCAAAAAATGCCCTGTACAACACAGGCGACTAAATAAACAGTGACGTTAGACTTAATGAGAGAATAAATGCGCTCATATGCACATTTCAGCAAGAACTGTTACAGGACAGATTCTTAGAAGAGGGAGGAAGGGGTAGACCAAGGAGCAATCCAACCCTGAGTATTCATTTCCAATGGTTAGAAGAAACTTGAAGATTGTTTCATAATCTTCAGTTTCTACGAGTCATTTTTGTCCTATACCAATAACCCTGAACCGAAGAGCTTAGGTTTCTGTAGTAAATACTGCTTTCAACAAGATTCAACTTTGCTTTTCACATCTCAGCTAAGTGAGGTTTTGGATAATGCCTGATGTTTTAAAAGAGGAAGTAAGAAAAAAACTGTTGGGCAGCAGGGGAGACCTTGAAGACTGGCCCATCTTTCAGTGAAAAGATGTGGAAAGTCTCTCATACCAGAAATGGAAAGTGGAGATCGTAATACTAGTAAGAGTAAAAAACAATGCCCTCTGTACCTAGCAAGTCCATTTCTCCAGAGCTGACCTAGAGAAACAACGCTCCGGGCACAAAACGGCAGGTATGAGATGTTCCTTGGGACAGTGTTTATAACTGAAAAAAGTAGAAACAGCATAAACACACAGCAGGACAGAAATTACTAAATGTTAAAAATAGTCACAATATAGAGTACTATGCAATACCTTTAAAAAAGTAGACCTAGGATTCTAACAGCAAGTGGTTTTCAGAACCAACTGTTCAGTTAAAAAAAAAAAAACAACCCAGCAGCAGAATATGGATAACACGATGTTTTGTGCTAACACACACACACAACAGTGTTTTTTTATATTCATGTGTGCACTGCTATATATGCTTCTATTCTTAAATACACAGAAAACGTCAAGAAGAACAACATCAAACTGAAAAAAAGATTAAAGAAGTACCTGGTCCTATTGTTTTTTTGTGTGTGTGTGTTTTTGAGACGGTCTCGCTATGCCGTTCAGGCTGGCCTTGAGCTCACTTTGTAGCCCAGGCTGGTCTCAAACTCGCAATGATCCTCCTGCCTCAGCCTCCTGAGTGCTGGGGATTACAGGTATGTGCCATAAGGAGAAAGTGTTTATACAGGACTCTCCTATATTCTTAATAATATATTTAGGAAAACAGAACATGAGATTATGAGATGAGAAATTCACAAACTATTTCCTTCCTCTAAGTTTCATCCTTATGTTTACTGTGCAGCCTGTCCTACATGTACATATGTGTGTGTGTGCGTGCGCATGTGTGTATCTATATATATGCATAAAATAAATATTGAGTTTTCATAGCATAGGATTAATGATTTAATTAAGAGTAAATTTAACATATAAAGATATTTTAAATGTTATAGCACTTTTAAAAATGATAAATAACATCAGAAATTTGGGGGCTGCCTCACCCATTTTCTCCCCTTCAGAGCTGTTTCTCTTTTTCTTTTCTTTCAAGTCTCACTGGAAAAGGTGATCCCACAATCCCCTTGTGCTAATAAGTTCCAGTGTGAGCAACACTCATAATTGGGTAGTTGGGGATCGAGTCTCCCTCTCCAAAAAAAAAAAAAAGAATCCACTACTAAAAATAAAACAAAAAAAGAATAAACTTCAGAAACTTTAAACAACTTTATACTTCAAAATCAGTTTGATTTGAACTAAAATATATATCGGTGTCTCTGAAATGCAACCTTGTTTCACAAAATATTTTTAACAGCTACAGGAACGGATTTCCCTCCCGTGTCTCCGGGACGCGTTTTGCTCTGTGAAGGAGCATTCACGTCAGCCCCTCGTGTCGTGAGCACAGACAAAGCCCACTCACTGAGGTTGTGGTTGTCCTTCTTCTGCCTCTCCTTGGCCAGGGCTCGCGCTTCTGACTCTGTGGGGAAAATACACGCTGTGCACGTGAATGAAGCAATTAGAAATTAGAACGGTTAAATCGATACAGCAATGTAAACTATAAAGCATTTCATTTTCTAAACATGGGGAGCTTTCTGACTTGATTCTAAGTAAAACTACGTCTTTTTAAAAAAATATCTTTTAAAAACTTGTACTTTTTCAGAAGCAATATATTTCAAACAGATGGAGTAACTCAGTTCCCACAAACTGGTAAAAGACCAGTGTAACAATAATCCGCTGTACACCGTACACACATTCCAGTGTTAACAAGGATGATATCAATAACTAAAAAACTAGGAAATCTGTGGTTGATATTTCATTATCAAGAGTCAAACTTTGGGGCTGGGGATATAACTCAGTGGCATAAGCGCCTGCCTGGCAAGCGCAAGGTCCTGAGTTTGACCCCCAGTACAGCAAAAAAAAAAAAAAAAAGAGTCAAATTTTGTTTTTCAGGCTAAATAATTTTTCAGGTTTTTTTGTGACATCTTTGTAAAAGAGTAGCATCAAAACTGAGCAGAAAAACTCCCCCAGGTCTCTATGGTCTCTGACTGGTTCCTATAAATGAACTTACGTTTTTAGAATTTAAAAGCTGATTCTATCAGAATCTGCTAGAACAAAATCATTTAATGACTCTGGGGAGAAACTATTTACTACTGTGTTAATTCTATGAAAATATAAATCAGAATAGGGTACAGAGGCATTTTGTGGCAATTCCACTTGGTAAGTTCTATTTTCATAGTGAGTCTTGTGAGATCTCTATCTTAAGTGATTACTTTTCACTTTACAGAGAACAAAACACAAAACAACAAAGTATCTTGCTTTATCAATACTAGTATTCAGAAATCCCTCCCTCCCTCCCTCCCTCTCTTCTTTCTTTCTTTCTTTCTGATCATTTTGGGGATTGAATCTAGGACCTTTGCATTGAGTCACACACCCAGTCTCTAAGTTGCCCAGGCTGGGGTCACACTTGCAATTCTCCTGACTCAGTCTCCTAGAGTGCTGGGATTACAGGCATGCTGGGATTACTTTTTCAGAAGTGCTACCTGCAATATTACACTACCATAATTTATAACTTTACCTCAAAATACAAGTACTTTAGCATGATTTAGAGCTACTGAGGCATAAATATATATATTCAGTATATCAGCATTAAATACATGTATGTATACACATTGTATTATAGTATATAATAGTATTTCAATCAATAGCAGGCTGCACGTAGGACGGTGGTCCCAGGAGAGTGTATCACCCAGCCACACCAGAGCCATCGTAAGAGTAAGTGCATCTGTGATACTCGCATAATGACGAGATCATTGATAACACCTTTCTGAGATTCATGACTGTCCTGTATACATGTATGTGTGTATGTATGTTGGTATAATTCAAATGCTAAATTCTTTGAATCGTGAAAGGCAATCCAAGTGATTTCTGTTCTGTTTTTCTTTTTCCCTTACATAGTATGATGGGAAACTTAACTCCACACTTGCTTCTTCAGTGATTCTCAGTATATTTGTTGTTGTTGTCTTATACTTTTCCTTTGTGGCAGGCTTTCTACTTGATTTTTGGCTTTGGATAGTTCTTATTTCTTAATTAACTTAATGTTTTTTTTTAAAACAATGTCTTTCTCTTGCCACCACTTTCTGGAATCAACTTTTAGAAAGACGGCCTTGAATAGGACGGAAATCATTTGCACCAAGTCCACACCCCATGTTCTCAGTCCATTTCCCCCAATCCTGTAGGATGCAAGGCCAAATAATAAAGGGAGGATAAGGGCCATAAAATTCACCATGGTGAAAGTCCAGTCCCAGTACAATTTCTATCATGTTTTCATGGCCAAATGCCTTCCCTGAAGCATTAAGCAAACTGGAAAAATAGGTAATTTCACACTTTCTGCAAGAACAAATAATTCTAAATTGGTCACAGTGGTGCATGCCTGTAATCCCAGCACTCTGGGAGACTGAGGCAAGGCGAGTGCAAACTCAAGCCCAGCCCGGCAACTAACAACTTAGAGACTCCGTCTCAAAATAAAAAGTGGGCTGGGGGTACAGCTCAGTGCAAAGGTCCTGGGTTCAATGCCTAGTACTGTGGGCCCCGAACTATTCTAACTTTTTTATTGTATTTTTATTGTAGGCTTACGTGTGGGTCACAGGAAAATTCAACCCAGTGTTCTTAAATACTCAGTCTCTGGCTTGGCAAGTCATGTAAACATCAGGCTGGCGAAGACATTTGCAGGTGAGTGTCACCTGCCACCCCCAACTCATGGGAGAGCAGTCACGGACACAGTGACTAGGGCCATGTATGTGGTAACGGTCGCCCTGATTCCCAGCATCTGAGGAAACCAGGGTTTTCAAGCACAAATCTTCTATCTCAAAATACCACACCATGTTTTAGTGTCTGCAGATACCTAAGGGAGTACGTCCACGAGTCGGATCTAGGAGCTGTTGCTGTATGCACGGCTTTGCCTAATGGGGAAGGGAATAGGAAACGGGGCAGGGCATGTCTGCGAGGGACTTACCTGTGAGCTCCCTTTTTATGTTGGGCAGGTTGGCGGGGCACGAGTTGCTGATGGTGAGGCCTGGGGGCGGCAGGCCTTGGTTGCTGTAAAGGTCAATCAAGTTTCCAGAGACGGGTAACTGCAGAGAGGGAGGAACAAGAGCAGAAATGAACTGTTGGAAACTTCCCAAGTTCTCTGGATAAAATCCACATCCTATTCTATGTTTTATATAAGGAAAATAAGTTCTATGAAGAGTTTTTTTTTTAAATGGGAAAATATGAGAAATACTTGCTGTGAGCGTTACATGGCCTTCTTAGCAAAGGACAGTGTCACACCCATAACATCTATTACCCAGCTTCTGGGTTTAACCTGAACACGGAGGCAGTGGAGAGTGGGGCAAATGCCTTACCTAACACAAGGAGTAGCAGACGGTAAATGTTCAGTGAATACTGGCTCTTATTGTAAAACACCATTCTATGTGGGAAACCCTTTCCATCTGAATGGCTCATCACTTTTATTCCTTCTTTATATTTCCTTCTCCCTTCTTCTCTCTCTTTTATAAGGAAAAACAATGAGAAATGTTTTCTTTTTGGAAAAGAAAGGATTTCCTTATTGCTGAAGAAAAGGTTCCTTTCTGTCGAATTGAAATTTTTCACAAAACCACAAGAGGGAGCCACAGACTTTAATAAAAAACGAAAGACGTGCAGCCTGAAATACATGAATGAAAGAACCATTTAGCCCTCCTATCTAGTTTAAGAGGGTCTCCTCCCTGTGGTTCTGAACTGACTGTTTCAAAGCCATGAATTCATTTCTTCCTGACACTGACTTCCTCTACTTGATGCTTATTTTTATGAGGAGACATCCAATTTCTCTTCTTCTCAGGTTCTGAAATAAAGCTCTAAATATTAACGCTGAAGCAAACATGGAGCAAACTTGCTCCTTCCACTGGCAGACAGCGTTTCCAGGTTAACTCAAACAACCCCTGCGACTACAGTACCTAGATAAGACTTCATGTCATCTCCCCTTCCCCCACTTGATTGCACACTCCACATTTCACTCTACATGTGAGAACAGTAACTTCAGAAAGCATTGCAATGTGATTAAAACACTTAGAGGCCTAAGGAAGACTGCCCTCAGTACCCATGAATGCCCCTTATCTGAAATGCTCGGACGGGGGCGCGGCTAGAAATGTTTGGGATTTTGCATTTTTTCCCATCTTGGAACATTTGCATATACAGAATGGGTATCTTGGCAACAACATCCAAGTCTAAACATGAAATTCACTGTTTCACATCCACCTTCTACACACAGCCGGAAGACGATTTTACCTATTTTTAGCGCACCTGCCTCTGACCGGGACATGAGGTCAGGTGTAGAATTCTCCACTTCTAAAGAAACACGCCCTGAACTATACTCCCAGCTAAAGAGGTGGAGGAGGCCGGTGTCCACAAAGTAAAATACTGCCAAAAGGCTAACGTGACACCACCCCTAACAGGATCCGGAGGGGCAAGAAGGACGCTCAGATGTGCAGGACCTGACATCCCTCTTGCTTCTTGCCCAAGGCAGCAAGCGCACTGCACGCAGGCCGGTAAATACACAACACACTAACTTAAAACGTCCCTGGACCGCATTCAAGGCCCTCCAGCTAAGGAATGGCTAAAAGTGACTTGATTATTAGCTGTCACTTCATTAAGTGGTTCCATTTAAACAGGTCACCTTCTCAAGGTCAGCTTGTTCTCTGTGGGTTTAGTTGTTTTCTGCATCCAACTTAACACAAAGTGAAAGGAGTCTGCCTCTTTCAACATAGCACTGTAAAGTGCCAGAAAGACCCAGAAAGTTTAAGCTGCTCTGATTATGGCTTCTGGTAATGTCTCCCAAATCCAAAGCTTTAACCTCTATCTTTCTGGAGCTCTAGATCTCAGCAAAACTTGTAAGTATTAATAAATCAAGAATGTAACTTGAAAATTTAAAGCAGTAAGTTTAAAACACTGTTTCCATAGCTCTAGAAATGCAAATCATATACGGTCTAATATGTAAATCGGGCACAAAACATGCAGTTACATTATTATGTAACTGATGGTTTGTTGGGGCTAAGTAACAGGCCAGAAATATGGATAGCTAGCTTTAAAAACAAGGCTCTAAGTCAACACTGAATATACTCTGAACAGATACCTAATTCCAAACTTCCCCAGGATGAGAACCCATTTTCAAACCACACTCTAAAAGGCAAGAAAAAAAAATAATATGTATATAATGCATGCACTTAATAGATTCAGAATGCATATTTAAGAAAGGATTCTGAGTTTAATTTGGGGTCTTGGCATAAAGAAAAGAAAACAAAAAGGAAAAAGATTCAGTGGTATCAAAAAACACCTTTGGAACTAAAAAAAGAGGAAGAGATACCCCTGTAAAAATGACTGCTCTGCATCTTCTCTGGTTTTTATCTAGAACGCTAACCTGATGGACAAGATTTCACTTCCAGAGCAGCAGCGGCCGTGCAGATGGCTGAAAGCCGCAGTGGAATCAGGACGGACAGAATGTAGCCGGGCCCGCGCCTTTGCCTGAGTTGGTGATCTGAATAGAGTTCTTCAATGCTCTGAACCACCAAAATGAATATTTTTCCAAGTAAATGATAATTGTAGAATGTTATTATTTTTTCCTCTCTGGATGGTCCCCTTCTCTGAATATCAACTGTGTGCCGTTAACACAAGTAAACTGGGACTTTTATTCTTTGTTTGTGATGGTACAAGAGGGCTCTTGTGTTCTCAGAATAGTTATTTCTAGACTTTGATTCCCTTGGGATAGTTTCCCCTCTAAGGGTTCCTTCTACTTTAAGTAGTTAACTTGAAATAAAGCATTTCAAAGAATCAAGTAAAAGGGAGAAATGCCTACCATGAAGAACATTCAATTTAAACTTTACTGTGGGAAAATATTAAAATGTGAATAGGTTTAATAGCTGGATTATTTAATTTTAACAACTAAAACATCATTTTGTCAAGAATAAGAGCTGGAAACTAATTTGAAGTGAGAGCTTACCATAGCTAGAACTATTCTAAATGCTTTTTGTAGATTAGTTCTTGTAACTTTTACATTAATTCTATTGTGGCAGATGTGACCATTATTTCCATTTTACATATGAGGAAACTGAGGCAGAGAGGTCAAATAATTCTCCAAATCACCAGTTCAGGGTCTTTGCCCCTACCTCTGTTACACTGGCTTTCCTCTAATAGCAAAAATGATGCAAGTTTTATCCTAACAAAACTATGATAAAGCAACATTAAACTTTTTCCCACATGGGAATACAGAAGAACAAAGGATGCTGGGATAGTAAGTGACTTCTGCGGATGGCTGTCTGGGAATTAACTCCACTCTGCCCAGGGGATCTTTCCTATCTGGGGATTCCAGAGACAGCCTCTGTTCCTCACTGATCCTTTCTGACTCAAGGGCTATGTGGTCCCCTCTTGCAGACAGTGAGCCCCAGAATCACAGGAAGCACAGATTATCTTTGCAACTACAGCACCTCACGCAACAGGAATTTAATGCATGCTAACTGCACCTTAAAAAGAGTTCAATAGCAGTCCTATGATGAAGGAACCACACCTCACTGCCCATGCATACTGACTTAGAAGACACAGGTATCTTTTACAGGACAGAAGCCCATGGGCCATGATACCTGTCCTCCTAAGTGCTGCCATGTAGAAAAGTATCTGACAAACTGAGACCCATATTAGAATTCAGACATTCCGTGTGAGGGACACCTTACCATATGTATTATGCGCTAAGATGTACAGTAGGCAACATGAATAACTGCATTTTCCAGATGAGGAAACACGGGACTTAAAGAAGCTAAGTAACATGCAAGGTCACAGAAGAAATGGCATGCCTTGGACTTCAACCAAGTCTGGTCCCAATTCATTAACTCCTAACTGCTGTTTTACTGCTTCCCTAGGGAGTCAGTGAAAGTCCTTACTGGGAGCTTCTAAAAAGTGTGGTGCCTGATTTTTTGTGGGGAACATGAAGGCTATGAAAGAGGAAACTAGTGTACTTAGTACTGGATTGGAGTAGAGGAATCCAAAGGTCCTCACACTGCAAAATGAATGAATAAAAATGGATGCTTTTATGAAGTCATGTCAACTTTAAAATTCTCTTGAGTGTGTCCAGGTACCCATTTGATACCACTGACAAAAAGACCATTCTCACATCAAAGTTCTTTTGAGGGGACAGGACCACTGCTAATTCACATTGCCTGGGAAGCAAAGCAGGGTAAACAGACCTGTGTCCTTTTGTATATTTATAAGCTCTGTAGTGCATGCTCCCAAGGTGTTTTGCTCACGTTCATCCTAGGGTTACAGTCTGCATCTCATGCATCATCGAGGTGGAAGCAAAGGGTTCCACAGACGCCAACCACAGGTTCAAGGATGGTTGGGAAAGTTTGCCACAGGGACATTTACCAGAAAGGCACATCATTTAGTTCTTTCAAAATCAGGAGATGAACTTAGTGGGCAGAAAATAGATTACATCTGCTAGAAGAAGCTTTTTTTAAGTGAAGTGAGTGAACTTAAAGAACTATACCACAATGCAAAAGAAAACGCTAACTACCAGAATTCAGTTTACTGAGAAGTTTAGTGTAAATAAGTAAGGGCGACAATATTTCTTGGTTGAGGGACTTCACTACTGGAAGTTAGTACTTTTCTGAAACTTTTACTGTGATAAAAACAAAAAACATGGAATTACTTTAAGTGTATAGCTCAGTAGTGTTAAATATTCACATTATTGGGAAACAGACCTGGGGGATTTTTCACCTTGCAAACTGGGAAGACGACTGTACCCATAAAACAACAATACCAGTTTTCCCCTTTCCCTTCAATAGACCTTGGTCTGTTAAACACCAGTTATTAAAGAATTTGGTAAGTTTCACAGCATGTTATGATGAAACTGAAAAGGACTAGGACTACTGCTGAACAGACCCCGCCCTGGCTATGTCATCTTGTGTAAGGCTGACCGGTTCCCTCTAAAACTGAGGGCAGCGATGCCATCCCAGCTTGACTGAGAGTTACTGCAAAGGGTAAGTAAGATTTGCAATGAGAGTCTGATAAAAGTGTAATATAAGGCAAATAGAAGGAGTAAGGGAAAATAAAAATGCAGGCAAGGCTGTCAATAATAGAAAAAAATGAGTGTCATATGATACACCCAAGCTCCTAAGAGCACTGGTTTATCAACTAGAGGTGGAAGAAGCTTGCTGCTGAAAAAGTCACCTCCTCCTTGTGAAACTGCATGAGGCTTCCCGGGTCAATCAGAGCACTCCTGTGAACAGCAGGGCCACAGAAGCGCCCTGGGCCGAGGTGTACTAAGTTGGACATCAGCTGTCAGAGAGAATCGAGGGTCCGATGTCCAAGAGGAAGCACACGTGGACTCCGGGGAATACTGGGCTTTATCACAGGGTCCTCGATAGACTCGTGAAAGATTCTCAACCTCTAATGTCATATTCACTTATTTGTGAACCTACGATAATTGTCTATTATTAATCAATCCGTCAGTGAATCAGTTGCAAAAACGAAGAGTTTGAGAACAAAGGAGTATTGGAATATCCCGATTTTCTTTAAAAAAAAAAAAAAAAAAAGAGCCATTAACACAGTACCGTGTTTGCCATCTGCAAGGCGGGGTCCATCAAGCCCAGGATTTCTTCATTATAGCTTGATTCCAGGCTAATGATGTCATCAATTACATCATCCATCTGGAAGAGAGACAGAAATACACTAGAATAGCGTGAAATAACATTAAAAGAGACAGCCTTGGTTCCCTCTTACCTAAAGCAATAATACTCTTCAGTTAGACGCTAAAAAGTGACTATTCTCTTCCCACTGAAGTAAAAATATTACTGGAGACCATTAAGACTAATGGGTGATGATAATGATACTTGCAGCCAGCATCTGAGCGCTTACTAGGTGCCAAGTACTGCACTTTGGGATTTCCACGCGCTAAGGTACTTGCCTTGACACAAACCCTAACAAGGCAGGTGCCATTGTTATAGAAAGTGTACCCGCGGCATAATGAGAAGCACACAGTGAAGCAGGGGGTGGAGCCATAATTTCACTCCTGCCCTCCAGTGCCACTGTGAGCTGCTTCCTCTCACGAGGAAAGAAGCAGGAAACTTCATCTTGAATGATAGCTACTTCCTTTTATTTTCTCATGCCCTTCCCAAAAAAAGAAAACAGAAGGTAATTAAACTCTTTTGTTCAATAGGGTATGTGACAGTGGCTCCCATGCCACTGGCTGGCTGTACTGATCTCACAGTGACTTGTAAAGTAAGTGTCTTCTTGTACAGCTGCCAGTGTGCATGGTGCTCCCCAAGGAGTACACGGGACGAGATTATCATTACAGTCTTGGAGCTGACATTTCCACTAGATCAATTTTATTTCTGAAGTACCAAAACATTAGTTATGATAAATAAACAACAGTGATTACATGTGCACTGCAGCAGTTACAAAGAGAAGTGTGTGAAAACATTTCTTTGTAAACACTTTACATACACGAGCTGTCTGTGCTTGGGTATAAAGGGTGCTTTACAGGTACATAACAAAATCTCAGAACACAGAGGGACACTCCTCTGTATCTTTGCCCCTCACATAAAGAGATCAGGCTCCAACCTCACAGGGCTGGGGTCAAAGTCCTGGTTCTCCCACTTTCTAGGTTAAGGGCAAAGTTTGGGGATGTGGCTCAGTAGTAGAGCATTTGCCTATCATGTATGGGGCCCTGGGTCCTACCCCCAGTACCACCAAGGGAAGAAAGTGAATGAGGTGAAGGACAAAGACTCCTCTCTGTTAAGAACCTCAGGGTGTCAAACTTTAACATGGGGGTAAACAACACTACTAGCTTAGGGGATATTACTGAGATTTCCAAATAAACTATATAATATGCTCAGTGAGTCAGGAATATAGTAATCACCATAAACTAAAAGTAAAGGGTAGATGAAGTGATCCTGAGAAAAATAATTGGCAGCCAGTTCTGACTAGCTGCCAGCACACTCTTGGGTCCGTTTGTAGGTATACCATTTTTATTTGTTTTAATAAAAAATCTTTAATTGAATTAATAAGTAGAAAAATAGGCCTAGGGTTTATGAACAACCTTCATTAATTTTTAACTTTATTTTAGAAAAATAAAATTAGTGGGCTTAATGTGATAAAAGGAATGCAAATTAATGCTGGAAATACAGAAAATATAGAACACAGGAAATATTCCACACTGTAATATAGAAAATATAGAAAAGCAAAAGGGAGAATTTTTATTGCTTTCATTTTCTCTTGTATATTTGTATCCATGTAAGTATTTATGAGATGTAGCATAATTTATTCATTAATTAGAATAATTTATTTATTAAGAAAAAATTTTAATTATTTGGGAAACAGCCATTATGGATTATTAAACTAACAGTTTCCAAATATGTGTTCCATGAGATTCCATCTATAAAGCAATATACAGATCTCACACCCAGATACACCTTGGTGTTATGAATATCCTATGAAAATTGTTACCCTATAAATCTGCATGATGGTATATAAATAACATACAGCATTTCATATTTTCTTTACTAAAATGTATATATTTTAAGTACATTTTAATAACGCAAAACAACTTAGATGAAAAACAATTTCCCTAGTAATCATTTCATTCTTAGCTACTGTGAAGAAAATGGCACTGTTCATAGCATTCCCTACTTTAAAAAAATCAATGGGAGAAAAAAAACCCCTAAATCATCAGGAAAGCGTGATAAGCCACAAATATAGATTCTCATCACAAAGTGCTACATCCTTGGGCTGCGGAGTCACTCAGTACCTGCATACAGGACGCTCGTGAATGGGTATTCATACTTGGGCACTCGCTCTCCGCCCTGTTTTGCTCTTCAAATTTATAAAATCCCTGCGAAAACATAAGCAAAGAAAGCCCGTGGCATGGATTTGCAAATGATTTTTCAGTGACACATTCACACAAAGCTGATGGCATAGCAACAAGATGAACCAAGCTTTCAAATGAGGCACAATCACAAGAGACAGAATGATGAAGGAAGGAACTGTGTCAAGTTATCGTGCCAGGTGACAAGTATGGACAGAGGAAAGCAGTGTCTGGTCTGGGCGCAGGGGAAAGACTTAGTTCCCCTAGTGATTAAAATCAGTGGCACTTTAAAGAGTTACCTCTGAATGCACAGAAACATTTCAGAGTTCTGTAAAACTCTTAAAATGAAGCTCATCAACTCATAACGTGGAAGTAACAAGTATTAAATCATAACTCTCCTCTCAGGTCACTTTATGCTCCACAGTTTGACTTTGTAACAACTGAAGGTCTATTTGAGTGTCTCCAATCCAGCCTTTACTAAAGTAGATTTAATGGGAGCAGCACTTTTATTAACAACGTATCTGGCAACTAAACCTTTGCTTCTCTGGAAAGATTCATGTGCTGTATTATTCAAATCTGTCCACATGCAATCTGTACTTTTTTTTTTCAATCCAGGGAGAAATAAAATGAGATTCACAACAAGCGGAACTTCTACACCGCCTGTTCTACACCTTTTCTATTTTTTGCTTTTCCTTTTCCACCTCCCCTTCTCTCTCTGCATTTTCACTGCTTCCTAAACTGAAAGGCATGGAAGGGAAGAGAAGGCTCTAATGAAGCAGAAGTAAGTTGAGAGCTTCTGCTCAGACCAGGGCCAGTCTCCTGTCATGGGCAACACACCCAATAACCCAGTGACAGCGACATGGGACTGGGATGCGGCAGCCGCACTGGCGAACGGGGAATACGGGCTGGAGACTGTGGACAGGAGGACAAACTAGAGTCCATAGGTAAGAGCAGGAAGAATATCAACAGACAGTTACTAAGTGGAAGGAAACGGAGAGGAGAGGAGACGTCAATTACCTCTTTATCACAGTTGGAGTTAAGTGTGAGCATAGCCATGGGGCTGTTGGGTGCGCTGCTCCCCGGCACCGGTGGCATGACATGATCGCCAGGCTGGTTTGGACATGGCAAGCTCAGGACTTGGTTGGCATGTTTATTTGCTAAAGTGGTAGAAAGGTACTGCTTTACCTGCTGCCTTTGGGCTTGCTGTATGTGGTACTTGGTGGGGTTTTCAAGGTGGGTCTGCACCTGAACATAGCCACAGAGGGGAAAGAAGACAGTGTCGTTATTTCTGCATAATGAATGGCTCTTCCTCCAGGTACAAAATTTGAAACTGACTAGTCCACCAGCAGAATAAACTGCCCTGTGAGGGACCAGGGATGGTGCTCACAGATTTGGGTATTACTAAAAAGTTTCAAGTCTAACTTTTTGGGGTAAGGCTTTTCCCTACTTTATTTCTGTACAATTAGCTAGACAACTCTTTCAAACCTTGTGATCTTCTTCGCATGTCTAATCATTAAAAGTTTACAGTGATCTGTAGGGCAAAAATATCCCAAACACACCTGAAAGGGCTTAGTAAGATAGGAACAACAATCTCCAAGACACATAACTCGGTTTATCTCACTTCACTTCACAAACAAAATGGTTTTCTGTTAAAATGCACACACGGAGACATACACACACAAATTCATTATGAACCAACTGTAAAACGGTTGTAGAAAATAAACAGAAACATTTCCATGTTTAAATCAACTAGCTGTGGATTAATTCCTTCCCCTTCCATTTGAACATGATTATTTAATGTTTTAATTACTAAAGAACTCAACGGAAAAAGCAACTCCACATTCAGCCGTTTCCTTCAAACACAAAACACTTACATGTATGTGTTTTTAAAGACAAGACTGCTATAAACATTAATATAGAATTAAATGTTTTTACAAAACCAGTGATATTCAATTGAAAGTCATTTTTCCTTGCTAAACATACTTTAATCTTAAGAGCACAGACTCACGATTGGGAAATAAATGCTAATATTTTCTTTATTCAGAATTATACCGAATTACTTCTTATGGTGCTAGACAACAATAAGCATTAAATGAGGAGATTTGAACTTACAGAAAATAATGTGCTAATTACAATAACATAAAAAGGTGAAAACAACAATTTATTGCATTAGATTTCAGGAACCAAATATGAGTAAGAATAAAGCTCACCTGATAGTGATTATATTCTAGCATTTCCAGCATAACAGCGCGTAAGGGAGCCCCAATGCAACAAGAAACTGTAGACTATTCCTCCCTCTACTTTCTGTACTTCCAGTTCGCAGACTGGCTGGCATAGAGAAGGCACTATGAACAAGGTATCCCGAGACACCACCGGAAACTTTATCACAGCAGCCCTGCTTATAATAACCTAAGCTAATTAGTTATGCATGTAAAAATCTCATTCTCACAAGGGGCTTTTTTTGTGGAAGCCCTGCGACTTTGGTCTTAAATATTGGTATCAATTTTTCCCCCTGGCTTGACGTCATGCTTTTTTTCATAAATATAAAAGAACCTTTTTAAGGGATGAGCTATCACAGTCAAACTCACTGTCAGATCAAGGCCAATTCACTATTCATCTTTAGTTCCAGCAGTATTAATAGACAATGGTATTTCTCTTTCAGCAATAGGTTAAGAGCTGGATGCCCCCTTTGGAGGAAACATTCCCTGAAAGCTACTGTTACACATGAGACTTTTCTAACGAACAAACAACTGCCACTTTCGACTGTGACTACAAGAAGACCATCTTTTAGTTGGAAGATGCCCTATGCTGAACTTTCAACTTCATCAGCCTCAACTTGCAACCTGCTCTCCATGTGCACCTTACTCTTAGCTAGGTGGATATGTAATTTGATATCAACCTTGCATCAGGAAGAGGGAGTGCTACCCTAAACAGAATACTAAACACCACACACACACACACACACACACACACACACACACACATACACACACACAGAATGAGGAAAGGAGGGAGGAAGGGAGGGAGGGAGCGAGAGAGGATAGGCTATGAATGCAGCATAGAAAACAGGAAATGTCTTTGCAATTAACTCTCAAATTAGGAAGAATGGAAAAATTTAAATATAATTCTTGAGGTTGGAGAAAAGAATATTACACACAAGTGATACAAATCTATTTAATTATTTATTCATTCCATTATTTACTACTATGTACTGAGCACTGTAAGTCATAGGCTGTAAGTTGTGAATAAATGAAAAACAGAGATAACTTCCACCTTTCTAAAGTCAAAAGAAGAAAACAGGCAAACAAATAAATATATTTTAAAATTATGATAAAGGCTTAACAGTCACTATTGAAATGGGACAGTGTTTTAAGAATGAAAAATTGAAATTCATTATTTTGTCTAAATGCTAATAAAGCCATTCAGGAGGACCACCTCACATTGCTTCAAATGACTGATCTAACACGCGAGAGGTTCGCAGAGACATTCTAAGCTTTCTCAAGGGTCCAGACATGATAACGATGAGGACAACAGACATTACTAAAATAGACATAAAAGGAGGGCAAGCAGCGTAATGTGCTTATTTCACTATTACACTTAAAAAGGAAAGGGCTACACATTTAAAAATAAACGTTAATTCACTGTCAGATTCTTCTTTTTTAATGAATCAGAATGCTATGCTTTTGTAAGCAGAGAAGCGACTTGCTTTTACCTGGCACTGTCACTGAGGCCTTTCCTACATCTGGGTTTGAGTGAGCCAAGTAGAGGGCCTTTTGCTCTTTTGCTGTCAGTGGCTTTTCAATTTTCGAATGAGTTCAGGGCAGATCGTTTATACACACTGTGCAGTAGGCAGAGCATCTCCCGATGTTTCCCACCCAAGCAGCTAACACAAAGAGGGACCTGACCTGCAGGGTAAGGTACCAGGGTGCAGACCTGTGGGAAAGTAGAAGGCACACACCTCATCTGAAAGGAGCGGCAGACATAAACTGAAGCTCCCACTTTGGCTGTGTGGGTATTCCAGTCCAGTCCAGCTACATCTCCCAAGTTTTTAAGAGTATCTGGCAAAATGAACTTTTTTAAAAAAGTAAGGTCCTTTAAATTAAAAAAAAAAATACCCAATTGTGTTATTGTCTACATAGTGTAACATCCATCAAACATATCTGGGGCTGGAATCAGCTTACGGGTCAAAAGCGTGCAGTCTCTGTTTTATATTGTCCATGAGGACAATCTTAGCATTGATATTCCCTGGGTGATGAGGAGAACTTCCCCTTCTGAGAAGTTAGGGTCCAAACCCAGGCAGGTCTTGAGGCTTCTCTAAGAGACCATGTGCCTGACAACATAGGAGTTAAGGACTCAAAACCTGCGTGCCGGTTTTGGCTTTGCAATGACTACTCCTGTGACTTTATGCAAGTCACAAGCTTCCCTATACCTTTGTTTTCCTGGGCTCACTGGAATTAATACAATTGCTTCATAGGTACATTTTCTGCATTAAATGAGGGCATAAGATATCTACATCAGTATTCCTCAAAAATTTTGTCTTAGGCTCTTTTTTAAAGTTTTCAAATTTATTCTATTTATGCAGATTTTATGCCTCAGTATTTACCTTACTAAGGTTAAAACTGAAAACTTTTGATCATGTGCTAGCATATATCTCCTTAAATGTTAGAATGATGACATTTTAACGTATCATGGAGTCTTTGGAAAACCGTGCTATATGCCTGTGAGATGAAAGTGAAAAGCAAAACATCTTTGTATTATTCTTCAAACAGTGTTGATCTGGCAAAACCCATGCAAGAGTCCTGAAGACCTACAGGCTATCAGATTACACTCAGAGAAACACTCATCTAGCACATGGTTAGCCTTCTGGCACCCCATCTGCCCTGGCCCTGTCATGTACCCCAGACGTGGTCTGTGGCATAACCTCTGTGTGTCCTGCTGCCCTCAACCGGAAGCTGAAGAAAGACCCATACCTGCCACCATAATGATGCCCCTCATAGCATCATTATGAGGTTCTACAGCCCTTTTACAATTTAAAGGCCATAGCAATATAACACATGTTTAATAATCCATATTTGTGGCCTTTTCATTAATGGCTTCATTTTAATTTTGAAATAATCAAGTAAACTATGCAAATGAAAACATATGTAGCATTAAACAAGACAGAAACATCTTGATGATTTCCTCACAACCTGCCCATATTTTTTTTAACCTTTAAATCAACCACCCATGTTAAAGAATTCAGAGAGCAAAAGTTGAACATAATAAAACTAGGATACTTTATACTTTATCACAATGGAGTGTTTACTGACATATTAGCTTAGCTGAAGTACAAAAATTCAAAGGCTTTGGATCTTTTCTTTTTTGTGACTGCTCCTACCTCTTTCCTTCTTTCCTTTCTTCATTCAGATTTTGAATTGATAGCAATACTTGAATTAGAGTGGAATCACCTCCTGCCTGTCGCAATGTAGTACTTCCTAGGTGACACTGACAGGTTATTTTCCATCAGTGTCCTCCTAATGAGAGCCTGTATCACATCACTGTCAGTATGAGACGATGGCTACAGATACCACCATCTTGGCTGACAACAGAATTCACTAGGGAAAAAAATATGCCCACCCGAATGTCCTGTTCTTCTCTTTCTATTAGCTCTTATCCAGACTTTGGATGAAATTGAGGAATGATTTCCACAATCCTTTCAGTTTATAATTGATTTTTAAAAATAACCCAAAGTGTTCAGGTTTCTTATCTTATGTTTGGGGAGAAAATTGAAGAGACGATCACTCAATCAACTGCTTTTCACTACCACCGCCACACCACCATTTTTTGGTAGTTTTTCAAGAGGCAATTATGAAAAAGGGCAATATGCAATTATAAGCCCTGAAGAAATGATAAAACAGAGAAGGCTAGTTTTCTTAAAGACTTGGAGCAAAGCTTTGTATTGGGTTACAAGTATTCAGACCAAGGTTTTTTCCATCTCACAAATGTAATATTACCAAAAAAAGAGAAAACACTATAAAAATATTTTCTAGGACATACATTCTTGCACACTCTGTACAAAGGAATCACTGATTTAAAAATATAAGCATGATGTGAAAGTTAACTGATTCTTTCAACTTGAGTAAGAAACGCCCAACTAAATTGACTCAGCCTAGTTCTGGGTGTGGAGTCCCACCCCGGGAGGACTGTCACAGAACAGGGTAACAGGGAAACAAGGAAGGAAGACCCATTTCTGTTTCTACAGAGGA